GGGTACTGTTTCGGGAGTCAAGTTTACTTCCTTTGTCTTCGTCACCTAGCCTTTTCTGGCGAAGTCGGGCAACATCGCCAGCGCCTAGCTTCGCCAGATGGGCAACGTTCACCCATCCATGCTTGCCCAGCCACTACTCCCATAGTTTATCCCGAGTAATTCCCATGAGTTTAGATTAATGGGCTTGTGTTTATCTACAATGACAACAGGGCACATGTGAATATATGTTCAAGTATTTAAGTCTAAGAAATATATAAATACATGCAGTGAAAGGGAACTCCCTTGTGTATTGAAGGGGACGATGTGCGTGGATATTCGTTGTGGCCTTTTGTTTGCAGGTGGTGGTGAGTTCTAGTATATCGTTGCTCTACACAGTTGGCATTGTGCCAAGGTAAAGAACAAGTGATATGGGTGTGTGCCACAATATCATTGTCCCGAGCCAAGTATCGTTGGTCGACGATACCTACTAGCACATAAAATATAGAAAATATGTATTATGAGTTGGGATTATTGACAATCAGTAATTTTGTCCCTTTGTATAGAAGAATGATAATGTGCACGATCGGCAGCCATGTTGTATAAGTATTGTAGGTTAGCCATGAATAACTTCCTTATAGCTAGAGAGACAATAGTGGTTAACTTTGCTCATGGCTAGAGCCTGAACTATGTAGAATCAAAAGAGCATTCACACTAATCCGCCAAGTTGCGAAGGGGTAAATCTCACTAAACCAGACTCTGCCATAGCGATGATTATGAGATGGAGAGAGGTGGAGTTGTCTCCATGGAAGGGCGATGCCTGCCGCATCCATGGCCTCCGATACAACAAAGTGTGATACCATTGACAAACGTTGGCTGTTCTTACCGTACCCGCACCATCAGAGGGTGGTCTTGGTTGTTGTTGCCCGCCAAGCACCACACCACCATGTATAGGCAACCACCAAGAGACCATCGACTGCTATTTGATGGATTTTTATCGTTGGAGGATAGCTATCCCGTCCAATCGTAGGGTTATAACTATTATTGGCCTCACACTAATCGTATCGAGTTATGCTAACTCTTTGTCAGTTTTCGAGAGATAGTAAGATAAAATATATAGAGATCCGACCTTTTGTTTGTTACCGAGAGCTAGTGTAATGAGAATGTATAGAAATGTGTAGCCCTTTTGTCCATTGTTGGAGGCTAGATAAGATATTAAATTTGGCCCTTTGTCCATCGTTGGGAGCTATGTAGATGTGGCTCGTTGTCCGTTGATGGGAGCCATGTATATATAGCGAAGTTGGCTCTTTATCCATTGTTGGGAGCCGCAAGATGAAGCAGTGAGTATCGCTATAAAGGAAATAACCGTAAAAAATGTCCAACCATGTTGTTGAAATAGATCTAACCATGTCTGGCCATGTATGTAGAAGTAGATGTTGGAGTGGGTTGCATTTTGTAATGTTTCAAGCGAAGCGAATAAGTGTCATTTTTGGCAATGTTGATTCTATTTCAATAATCAGTAGAAAATAGGAATTGCATGTTTGACATGGAAAATAAGTGTTGTGGCCTCTGCTGATGTGGACCCACATATGTCATTGGTTCCATAGCCATACAAATCCATCCCTCAACAAAGATTAACTCATGTACCCTACACAAATCTCCATGAGGAGTTAATTAGCTATTTTCATAAATTTTGCTTTTTCTATAGTCTAATTTAATGAGGAATTATTTTATTTCTTACTCCAAAGAACATGTTAACGTTACCATCGCAAAATGAGATGAGATCAATTAAGAAGAAAAACTTTATCAACATCTATTTTTTTGTCTCACTTGAATCTTATTGGGGGTGCTTTGAAATTACTCATTAAATTACTATTAAAATTATAAAATAACAGCCCCAAATGTGTCTTTGTAGGGATTTAGAGACAATCCTCTATAACTTATTTGTTCCTTTACAACATTATGATATTTATGAGATTTTTCTTTCATAAAAAAAAAATCCTATCTTATGGAAAAAGGTAAAAGGAATATTCTAGTTTCAAAATATAGATCACTAAATGGTGTTCTCACTAAGCAATTAGCTTTCACCATTTTGCCCAAAATATGCTGAATAAGATGGTTATTCTCTATTGTATTGAATGTTTGACAGGAAGATTTTTGAAGTACAAAAGTATTGCTATCTAAATTTAGAAATGACAATTTGATACTTTTAAGTTATATATATCTATTATCAATCCTAATTAATAACTTCGTTAATCAATGGCCAAAAATAATAATAATAACAACTTAGTTAATTTTTATACAAACACCTTTTTGATGTATAAAATAAATTCACACAATATGAATTTATCATTTAAACCCATCACAGAAGATCAAAAGAATTTGGAAGTGCTCGCTATACTTGAGAGCTACGCCTATAACATCGATTGTTTTAGGTGTTTGTACAATTCTTGTACAGGAGAAATGCTAATGTGATTCCTCTTTTATACTTTTTTTTTAACAACACTTACATTATAATTAGATCATATGTTAATATGTATTTTTCTATTATTATATATTATTGATTCTAAATTTAAATAACTTAACTTGTCACCTAAATTAATAATGAAAAAATACATATAATATAAGCCAATCATCTCGAGTCTTGATGAAAAGTGTAGAACAAAAAGTGTAGATGGCACTCCTACTCCTGCCCCTTGTAGAGGCTAGAGACACCCAAAACAACATAGCAATAGCGAATACAAAAACAATTTGGGAGTAGAAGGGTATTTTAGGTAATCCCTTGTTGTGCAGCCCAAGCCCTAATTCTAAACCAGTTAAATTAGTCCGGGTGTAAGGAGAAGAAGGGGATGGAGAGGATGCCAATGCCACGTGTACACCCAAAGCGATAATATTTACCCCTAGGTGACGTATACCCGTAACCGTAGCCTCCATATATATAGCTTGTTCGCTCTCATCTCTGTTTTTCTAATCTAACCGATTCGGACTCAGCTTAATCTTCATCTTCATCTTTTTCATTTTGTCTTCAGTGGTTTAGGGTGTGGGAGAGAGAGCTGTCCGTATCCTCCCTTTTTATTTGCTTTCTTAGCCGCCGCCGCAGCAGCGGCCGTCTCCGCCTCCTCGATCCAATCTGGAGATCCGATTTGCTTCTGTCTTGGCTTGACATCTAGGCCACGCAGGAGGGATCGGATTTGGGGTTTTTTCTTCATTGAAGTGTACACTAACAGGTATTCCTCCGCCCTCGCTTTCTTCCTTGTTTTTCCTGTTTGGATTAGAAATGATGTCAACATGAAGGAAAATGTTTCGGAATAAACAGAAACAGCACCTACACTTAATCTTCTTCGTACTAGTGTCTCCTTTTTAAAAGATTTAAGATTAACTGATTGTCAGGTTTTATTGCATTTAGAGACTGTTTGCTCCGGTCTAGTAAGTTTGAACCTTGAGATGAGATTTGGGAAAGGGGAATCCCTGTTGTATAGGTCACCTGTACGAAAGAATGAAAAGAAAAAGGATCTTCCTTGGTTTCTCGGGAAAACTATTGCTAGCTGCCTGAAATAATACAACGCAGTGGAAAGCAATGTCCTTGATGCCGACACTTATTTACTAATCATCACCTAATTTTTAATTTAACACACTTATATAGTTAGCTTGAAGTGTTTATGAGCTGTCCAGGTAGACAATTGGGTGGTCTGATCTCTGATGTTGGTTCCTTTGCAATTTTGTTTTTTAGTTGTATAGAGGATTGGTGGGTGTAAATGGCTTCCAGTGAGGGCTTTCTTACAGATGAGCAGAGGGAAATGCTGAAAATAGCAAGCCAGAATGCAGGGACTTTATCATCTTCTCCAAAGTTGTCATCATCCCCAAAATCCCCTACTTCTTTATTCGCTGATCATCAATTAAAAGTTCCTTGTGGCAAATCACCAACAGGTGGGATTGCTGTGAGGCATGTCCGGCGGTCTCACTCTGGGAAGTTTGTGCGTGTAAAGAAGGGTCAGTCGCTCTAATTTTTACCTGACAATCCTGAGTTCTAGAATCCTTTAATTTTTTATTATGATTAATGGTAAAAGAGTAATTTATTTCTATCCATTTTCTGGTTAGGTTAAACTTCTGAGACCTCTAATTTCTTTGACTGTAATATTTTTTATGACTGATGTTCCATAAAAGCTGTTTTTGGTTTTTTTGCATCCTGTATAGGTGGTACAACTATCATCTTCCGTTAATTTGTTGTGCCCACTGTTGAACAGTGGGTCACTTTAGATGTATTTGGTTTGGTTGATTATATTTCTGGGGACTCTGGTGAAGGTGCTAAGTATGTAGTGGGTCATTTTAATTTTTTTCTGTGTTCAGATATAGGAAAAGAGGTTTGTAAGGAGGGTTTTCATTTGAGGAAAGGATGTCAAAATCCTTTGGTAGATTAGTGATTTCCTTTTTTCCTCAAAAAATGATTTCAATACCAAAGCTTGGCATTTGAAATAACAACAAAACCATTTTTTTTTTTTTGGTAACTCCTTAAAGTTTCCTCACCCCTTCCTAAAGACTTGACAGAATAGGTAATTTAGAAAAGGAAATTCTTTCTTCATGTGAAATTCCTTCTAAAAATCCTTCATTCAAACACAACATTTATGTTTGTCAGAAGGTACGTAGTGTTTTGGACATTCTGCCTGAACTTGATAATGATATATAATATTTTTTTCTTACTAAACTAGACTTTAAATTAGTGAAATTGTAATGTCAATGCCTTTTGATTTTGCCTGTCTCCTGGCACGCATGCTGTTTTCAACAAATTTTATTTTCTTTATTGTGGAAAGAGTTGTGACATTTCTTTGTTTTCTTTTGGTTAGTGAAATAAATGTGGACTGGATCATTAGGATACAGTTTAATAGGTTATGTCTTGGACATATCATGTTTCAAGAGGAGAATTATCTCCATTCTCATATTAAAGTTTTATATCAGTGTCTACTCTATATTGCATTTTTTGAGAGGCAGTTTCTAGTTATCATTTGGTGAACTGCTACCAGATTTTGCAACATGACTGTGCCATAGGAATTTATGAACTAAACATAAGTTTCTCTAGATGAGTTGATAGACTAAATTGGATATGAAATTGACCATTGTGTTAATTCTGTTTCTGGTATTGATTGAGAGTGATCAGCTAAACAGTAGATGTGCAAATGGAAAGAAATTTTTGCTTCTTATTGCTGTTATAATTTTGTACATATGATTCTTTGCTCTGCCAATGAACCCACTGACTTATTGTTTGTATCTTTGTATTTCTGTAAAATATATTTAACAAAGAAAGCTAGTTCATAACATAGTTGAAGATAAAAGTGAAACTTCTGACTCTTGCTTATTCCATAACCAGATACTCTGTTCAGATTTCTAATTGTCTATCTTCACTGGAGGCAGCTGATTGTGCATTGTGAACTGGACATCCTTTTCAAAATAATGGAAAGGAGACTTCGATAGTACTTAAGTGGCTATTTGTCTAGGAATTTTTTACTAATATCAGAATTTATAAAATGTTAATAATTGTAGGCAGTGTTCATCTTTTGTGAAATAATTTCTTTTACTCTGATTTTCTGCTTCTGAACTGCTTTTGTGCAAATCATGACTAAGGGACACCAAATCAAAACCTGAGGCCCATGGCATTGTATTATTTTTTATTTTTGTAGAAGGATGTAGCTTCTAGCCATTGAATTGGTATATGTATTATCATTATTGCTTCATTCTTCTCTTTGTCAGTGCTTCATGATTGGTTTGGTTAATCTATCATTTTATTTTATAGCTTCTCAAAAGATATGAAGTGTGCTATGTTGTAATATTTTCAGATGGGATTGTTGTTTATGCTCATAAAACTCTTTAAGAATCTTTCTGAAGTGGCTAGTTTCCTTTCTAGTGATGCCCTATAACATTTTCTGCATGATTTTGTAAGCAGAGTTAGCTTCTTTTTTATTTTAATTGCAGCTTTTAAGGTTTTCATCATTGGCACCTTATAGCTTGAAATGACTTAAATCTCTTTGGGAATGGTATTATTAATTAAACTGCATGGTTTAGAGATGTCAGTTGTTCACTCATGCTTCATTCATGACTGAAAGTAGATGATTGTGTGTGGAATTTCCCCGAGTTCACAATGTAGCCCTGATAGGGTCTAACTCTATAATAAATACCTTGAGAAATATAGATGGTCAAAATTTACTGTGTGGAATTTTCCAAAGTTGCATTTTTGAAATTTGTTTGTGATAACTTATGGAAACCTTTTTTTGTTTCTCCAGTTTTAATTCCTTTTTTTTTTTTTTTTATTGTCTTCAATAATGTTAACAGATGGTGCTGGTGGTAAGGGAACGTGGGGAAAACTGTTGGACACTGATGGTGAATCTCATATAGATAGGAATGATCCTAATTATGATAGTGGAGAGGTATTTGCACTCTTTGATCTGATTATTTTGCTTAGTGATATTTTATAAAGTAATTTAGGTTTTGTTCATTTGTTCTCCCTGCAACCTTGCTAACTCATAAAACAATTCTTTGATCTGATTATTTTGCATTATTTTCAATGGATGATGCAATCTTCTTAGTCTGGTTGATGACAGGAACCATATCAACTTGTTGGGTCAACTATTTCAGACCCCTTAGATGAGTACAAAAAAACTGTTGTTTCCATCATAGAAGAATACTTTAGCACGGGTGTGGTTGAACTGGCTGCATCTGACCTCAAAGAACTTGGCTCAAGTGAATATCATCCATACTTTATCAAGCGCCTGGTTTCCATGGCCATGGACAGGCATGATAAAGAAAAAGAAATGGCTTCTGTTTTGCTTTCTGCACTATATTCAGATGTCATCAGTCCAGCCCAGATCAGAGATGGGTTTGTCATGCTGCTTGAGTCTGCGGATGACCTTGCAGTTGACATATTGGATGCAGTTGACATCCTTGCTTTGTTCCTAGCCCGTGCTGTGGTTGATGACATACTCCCTCCAGCTTTCATCACAAGGGCTAAGAAAGCTCTTCCTGAATCTTCCAAGGGATTTCAAGTTCTCCAAACTGCAGAGAAGAGTTATCTTTCAGCCCCACACCATGCAGAACTTGTTGAAAGGAGGTGGGGTGGTAGCACTCATGTTACTGTTGAGGAAGTAAAGAAAAAGATTGATGATCTATTGAGGGAATATGTGGAAAGCGGGGACACTTTTGAGGCTTGTAGGTGTATAAGAGCATTGGGGGTTTCATTCTTTCATCATGAGGTTGTTAAGAGAGCTCTTGTTCTTGCTATGGAAAATGAAACAGCAGAGCCACTAATATTGAAACTGCTAAAGGAAGCAGCTGAGGAAGGATTGATAAGCTCAAGTCAAATGATAAAAGGGTTTGCTCGGTTAGCAGGGAGTCTTGATGATCTTGCTCTTGATATTCCATCTGCAAAGATGTTGTTCCAGTCGCTTGTCCCCAAGGCTGCCTCTGAAGGATGGCTTGATGCTTCTTTCATGAAATCTTCAGCTGTAGATGGGGAGGTGCAAAATGAAGATAAAAGATTAAGACAGTATAAGGAGGAGGTGGTAACCATAATTCATGAGTATTTTCTATCAGATGATATTCCTGAACTCATCCGTAGTCTTGAAGATCTAGGGTTTCCTGAGTATAACCCAATTTTTCTGAAGAAGCTGATCACACTTGCTATGGATAGGAAAAATAGGGAGAAAGAAATGGCTTCTGTTTTGCTCTCTGCTCTTCACATTGAGATCTTTTCAACTGAAGACATAGTTAATGGGTTTGTCATGCTTCTGGAATCTGCTGAAGACACAGCATTGGACATTCTGGATGCTTCCAATGAGCTTGCTCTTTTCCTAGCCAGGGCTGTCATTGATGATGTGTTGGCTCCATTGAATCTTGAGGAGATTGGTAGCAAGTTACCACCAAATTGCAGTGGTTGTGAAACTGTGCGGATGGCTCGAACACTGATTGCTGCTCGTCATGCTGGTGAGAGGCTTCTGAGGTGTTGGGGAGGTGGGACTGGATGGGCAGTTGAGGATGCAAAAGACAAGATAATGAAGCTTCTGGAGGAGTATGAAAGTGGGGGTGTTGTAGGTGAAGCTTGCCAGTGCATTCGTGATCTTGGAATGCCCTTCTTTAACCATGAGGTGGTGAAGAAAGCATTAGTGATGGCTATGGAGAAAAAAAATGATAGAATGCTGGATCTGCTGCAAGAATGCTTCAGCGAAGGGCTAATCACAATCAATCAAATGACCAAGGGATTCACCAGGGTGAAGGATGGGCTTGAGGATCTGGCTCTTGACATACCAAATGCAAAAGAGAAGTTTAGTTTCTATATTGAGCATGGCAAGAAGAAGGGGTGGCTTCTGCAATCGTTTGGTTTATCTGTAATGGAAGCTCTGCCAACTGTGGAAGCCTCTTGAGAAGGAAATATGATTGCCTACTGTTTTACCTGACGCCTGTTGTCTCTTGGTGGGGTATTCCCTAGCGTTAGTCTGTAGAAGGAGGTGGATAGATAGATAGATAGATAAAGGATGTTTGGATTCCTTCTGATCATTTCGTCTTTCTTAACTATGGTTGTCTGATAGTGATTTTTATGATCCCAGCTGTTGTAAAAAGTTGGTTATTTGTTCTATTTAGGCTCATTTGGCATCAAGGTAATATGACGTGCTACCTGTTGTTGTTGCTTGCAATATATTATTGTTAGGATTTAGGATGATGCAACTCAAGACTTTTATCTTTATTTGTTTCCTTCTCCTATTTTGCATATTGCTTCCATTTATTTGTGATAAAAGGATTCAGTTTTTCTATGACTTTTTTTTAACAGCAACTAAAGTGGATAATTCATCCACGCACAAAAGGACCAGTACATAAGATATTAAGCAACTCATTAGGTGGGCAAGAAACCCAATGGCAGCGGCTGTTACCCCGTACAGAATGCTTAGCCACCTAATCACGCACTTTATTAGCCTCTCCTGAAACGGAGACAAATTCAACAAAATCAAAAGACCGTACCAAGCGAGCAATAGATACTATCATTGGAAAGTTCAAGCTTAGATATAGTGGTACACAACTGTCGGCAGCACGCCTATGTAGGGGTGTGGCTTTAAAATTACTCATGCAGAAATTAATTTCAAGATAAGTAAAATTTGATACTAAAACATCTTCACAATAAATATAAAGTAAAAAAAGAAAAAAAATTGTGATGTAGTCAAGACATTCTTCTTCATAATGTGATCCAGTTCCACGTTATCTAATCTCAAACAAGACTTTTTAAACCAAAGGAGGCGTTCCTACCTACTGTCAAACGAAGAGCCATGGCTTATGCTGCAAGAATTGTTGCCTGGTGCCTATTCCGTCTACAAGCACACCATTATTATCTCTAACTACCATTGCTAAGCCTGCTGCCCCCGTTTCGAGTTGAGAATTGTTTACACAAAAAATAAACCAATAGGGTAAGGTCACGTGTCAAGGTAAAGCCCAATTATCAAGAAAATCAATAAGCTGGATTTGGGCTGGGCTAGCTTACAATTTAATGGCCCAAACGGATTTTCAAGGAGGTTGGATCTTAGGTGGCAGAAGATAAGATTGGATTTGGTAGTTTGAGTTTGATTTAAAGTGGGAAATTGAGGATTTTTAGGTAGTTATCTTTAAGGTTGTTGGAGATAAGGTTAAATAGAAATTATCGGATA